AGCATAGTAGAAATTAACTCTTCATTCTGTTTAGACAGCTTCAGAACTGGCCAAAAATGTAACAAAAGAGATGCAGGTGTATTTGGAATCTCATAATTAGTTACCGGTATTTTCTTTATTTCAGCAATGACCGTAGTCCAAAACTTTTTAATTCGGGGACAATCCCAGCAGCAGTGTACTAATGTGCCTTTATTACCGCAACCTTTCCAGCACAAGGGAGTAGTTTTGTATTTACAATGGAACAACTTGTCAGGGGTAAGGTACCACCTTGTGAATAATTTGTAGTGTTGTAATTTCAAATTCATATCTCTAGTTTTAAACATACTGGAAGACCAAATTGTCTGCCATTGCGCCTCTGTAAAGGTAACTCCGCAATCCTTCTGCCAGGACTCCATGGTCGATGAAGAGCCCTTCCAGAGACGATCGTGTAGTTGGGCATAAATTGTTGCCAATAAATCTTTAGGATCATATCCTCTATTCTTCAAAAATCTTTCAAGAGGTAGCAAATCCCTTTTTAAATTAGAGTTACTGACAATGTCTTTTAAGGTATGGTGGACTTGGAAATATTGTATCCAGGGGATTCTTCCACCACTTTTATCTTCCAGCTGTTGTTAAGTGAGAATTTTACCATTGACATAAAAATCACAAATTCTATAAAATCCCTTATCCCTAACCAGGCTCAAAAAACCTTTGTCCAGCCCAGGAGAAAACCATGGTTGGCCAAATAATGCAGCTATATAGGAAATACCTGGGGCTTAAATCCTCTGTTTGTTCTATACATACCTTATTGTATTTGTTACAACTAACAGTTGCTGTAAATAGTATATTTTCCGTTGCTGTCAGCAATAAGTGAAATATCTTTTGAGTTGTTGGGGACGGGTAAGAGGTAAGGTTATGGAGTTTCTCTTGACACTGAACAAATTTATATGTTTGCTTTCTGAGGTGTTTGTAAATTTCTGTTAACTTCCAATTAAAGACGTCAACTTTAAAAGGCGGAAGAAAGCCTCAAGTGTGTCATACCCACGATACAACTTCACTAAAAATGTCTAAAGCAGCCGTAGTACAAGGAAGAATGTCCCACTGAGGTCATTTGATTATTACAGATAACAACCTCACAGCGGCTTGAGATTGGGCCTACTCCTATGTTTCCTCTGTTGTTCCTCATTCATATGTAAGTCTGTTTAGAATTACACTGCCTTGCATCTACTTCATTTTTACCTTGCCCCCCTCCCAAGGAAGGAGGGTCAGGGGTGGCACGAATTTTGTGCACAACTACCCTATGAAGTATGCTCAGCTGAAAGAGAATGACTGGGCCATACACTGCCACACTAAGCAGAGTTTCACCCTTCTAAAGTCCATTGATGTAAATGGGCTTAGACCGATGTGACTCTGCTTAGGATGGCACTGCCAGCCAGCTTCACGGCAGAGCAGGGATAAAATTAGGGTATTCAGACTCAAGGCCAGAGACATACCTTTTGAGGCTCTTTTGGGTTGCCCAGTAGGGTCCACACGGTGCCCTTACCAGTGGTTCTACATACTTTAACCATTTTCAGGGCTAGGCAGCAGATGCTTTCAGAAGAGAAGAATTCTAGAGGGCTAGTTGTGTTAGTCTATTGCAGCAAAAACAAGCAGGAGACATGTCAATCTTGAAGCTGCCCCAATACAAGGCTTGGGACCAATGTTCCCTCTAAGATGTGAAGTCTTGTGAGCAAAAATTCTACTTTGTGAGCTACAGGCATTAAAGTTGTGAGCGAGCGATTTGGCTCCTGCATCAATTAAGAGTGCTCTGGAGCCCTCCTTCCTGAGCTAAGAGAAAAATGTGTGAGCTGGAGGCTAAAAAACTGTGAGCTAGCTCACACCAACTCACCTTAGGGGGAACACTGCTTGGGACTACCCTTGAAGAGTGGTTGGATGCAGCAGCTAGTGCAGAGCATAAACTACTTTTTGAAGCCAGCTATTGGGACCACGTGTTCCTGATATTGCAGCAATTACATTGACTATTGATCCACTCCTGAGCCCAATTCACAGTGTTGTTTTTTACTTTTAAAGCCCCATATGGCTTGGGGATCAGGTTTTCTGAAATACCTCTCCAGGAATTATGACCACAGGGAGAGACCCTCCGGATTGTTCCCTCAAATCAACAAGGTTTATTTGGTTGGTACACAAAAGAGGGCCTTTTCAGTGGCAGCCCCACATTTTGGAACAACCTTCCCAGGGAGGTGCAGCTGACCCCTTCACTTTCTATTTTTAGGATGCAGATTAAGAGGAGCTCCGTAAGGAAGAAAAAATGGCCAATAACTGTTTTAAATATATAATACATAAATATTTTAAGGAAGGAGAAACTGTGCTTGAATCCACAAACCACTGAATACTGTGCTATTCATTTTCCTTGATTCTCCATTCAGGCCAAAACAATTCAAGCATTGCAATGGCACAAAATGCAGATGTGTGACTTTTAATGTATGGATAATGAGTGCTGCTTTTTGCCATTTGCCTATTGCATGCAGAGCTCAAGCTTTTTCCTACATAAGTACACAAAGGATTACAGCCAATGCATGATTAGTCAAAAGTCAGTGCCACTGTGATCTCATGGGGCTTTCTCCCAAGCCTTTCAACTTGTACTGTTGTGGTAAACTGAATATCAAGTGCAATGAGCTGTAGGATGGAAATTGGATAATGTACACCCATACTGGAGTTCCTTCCTTCCTTTATTTAGTTTTATGGGTGCTTTTCTAATATAGAGAAAACTGCAAGAGTCCCCAGTCCTTTTGAGCCTGAGGGCACAATGAACAAATGGCTGCCACAAGAGGGTGAACCAACCAGAAAACATCAGGGAATGATGTTATGCATAATTCCCATAGTAACTTTTCAACACTTCAGGCAGCAGCTCTTCTTAACAGGATGTCGTTTTCTAGTGAAGATTTTGTCTTTCATGCCTATGCACAGCTGTCCTTCAGTCATGAAGTGAAGATAGGGTTGCCCAGTCTATTTACCTTGGCGGCGGGGGAGCCTCGCCGGGCTCCGGGAGCTGTGGGTGGACGTGTGTGTGTGCGCGCGCCACCAGGAC